CCAGGATGACTCAGACCCCCCACCCCTCCAGCCTCACTACCTCCCACAACTCTTAACATATAGTTCGGGGGTAAGCCTCCACTTCACAACCAACTGTTGAGGTCTTTCCCCCTTGGCAGGCATCTTCTAGAAACATCTCCTCAGGAGGAGGATATGTGTCCTCCTCCTGCTGTCAACATCTTAATCTACTTTCACTTTCAGGACACCAGATATGTATGCAAGCAGGCAGAGGGGAAAAAGAAGACAGAGATTACCTGTAGGTCAAAGATAGATTAAAAACTGGATTGTTCAGGCTCTATCTCAAATGAATTCTGTAAGAAAATGATGGTACACACTGATGCTCTCTACTGTTTGCATCCCATATTAAATTTGCAGCGAGACGCAGACATCTTCTAATATCTTTCAAGAAACTGTCAAGGTAGAGTTGAACCCACTTGAATTTAACTAGACATGGACATGTCTTATTTTAGGATGCAGCTATGTTGCTATATCTCTGTTAGCATCTTAATAAACCTTAATGCTGAAAAAGAGCTTTTGCAAGATACTGCAAAGTGCTACTTTAATGGGCAGATGTCAAGAAAGATTTTCAACACAAACACGCATGTTTTAGACCTAACTCTGTTATAATCAGCCCAAAATGTAACAAATGTTACAATTACAAAAATGTGCTGATTTTATACTAGATATAAGAAAGTTCAGTTATATTATCGGATTGTTACAATCAGGATATTGAATTAAGTGAAATGACTTCCGAGTGTTTTGTACCCAGCTTTAAATGCTTCTCTGCTTTAGGTCAGTGGGGTCAGTAGGCTATGTCAGAAATATGTGCCATGGCTATCTGATCCCTTTTTACTTGGTATGCAGTTAATAAGCTTTTTGAACCCTCATTAGACACAACTCCCATCACACACACACACACACACACACACACACACACACACACACACACACACACACACACACACACACACACACACACACACACACACACACACACACACACACACACACACACACACACACAGAGAGAGAGAGAGAGAGAGAGAGAGAGAGAGAGAAGCTTCTAACCCCCACTCTGAAACGTGTGCCAGCCCACTGTTGTCTGAGAGTGTAGAGACATGCAGCTGCCGGCAGTCTGGTCAGTAACACACTGACACAAGGGGGAAACACAGAAGGCAAAAGGGCAAAGTTTGTCATCTCTGTCATACACTGAGGTCGTGTGTACATTGTTTGTGTGTGGGCTTTCCGGTAAGGAGCCCTCGCCTAAATGATCATTATGAAAGCCTGGAAGGTCAACGCCAGGCAGAATATGTCTGCGGTGTGCTGGAATGCAACCAGGGGAGGTCAACCTTTCATGCCTTTTACATGAGAGTTTTCAAGTGGGCTGCTTTAAAAAAAACTTTACAACACATTGTCTGCCAAGTTTATTTTGTATGAATATTTACATGAGTTAAGTTGCTTGCCGTGGTTGGAATTTTCATTTGAAAACACAATTTAATCATCTTCTTCTGTTCTACTTATTTGTACAGTGGGCCCACCTTTAGCTTTACCTTTAAAAAGTCAGCATTTTGATGAGACTGTGATAGTTTGGTGACTCTATAAAAAAGGTAGGCTACGACTTTCTCTTTGAGGGCTTCATTGAGCTAAGTGGCCTACTATGTTACTTCTTAAGGGATTTGTCTTTAGCCTTTCTCTCATTTCATCAGAAACTCTGGCTTGGTAGGCCTTTACAGACATTATCCTTCAGTGGTAACAACTCCGCATACACCCAAGCTACTTTCCTTTTCAGCAAACTTCATAAGATAGGACAACTCGGGAGCACCATAGACCCACTTTCATTTCTCTTCTGACTAGTGGCTACAAAGTGCAAAGTGGAAGTGGCTCTCTCGAAAATCTGCACGTTAAAGTGACAGCCACCCTTCCTCGTTTGATTCACAAAAATACACGTCTCCCCTCGGTAAATAGTTGCAGGCCTGGGCAAAGTAGCGAAGAGGGAAGGTAGACTCTGGGGTTCCCGCAACCGGCCTCCCCCCTCAAAAGAAAACATCTTTGGCTGTTTTTTTTGTTTTTTTGTTTTTTTTTTCCCGGATAAGCTTGAAAATCAAAGCAACGGGCTACAGAGGCAGGGCGCTGCTACTGACCTGGATAAACTGGATAGTCAGGGCTGATTTCCCAACACCGCCGCCTCCGACCACAACCAGCCGATACTTCTCCTGCACCGAGCCGTCCTTCCAGCCTGCCATCGAGGACACTTCGCCGCCGCACGCCGCTGCCGCTGCCGCTGCCGGAACACCAGTGAGCAGCAAACACCCACTTTTTTTTTTTTTTTCTCCTGTAAAACTGAAGAGGCCCTGCAGCGGAGAGACCGAGGAGCAGAAAACAAGATAGATGTTTAGCCGAAATGACTCTTCGGTCGGCGTAGTCCGCGAAGTGCACGGATAATTGCTAAAGGAGAGAAAGAGAGGGTCCCGGAGCTACGGGCGCCTGTCCATACGCCTGACCGTGTTTAAGCCTCGACAGCACTGCGATGCTGTGGTTCCGATAGTAGGCTAGAAGTGAGCAGCCAGGCCAGTACTAATGTCTGGCGCTAGGGGCCCTTCTACAGGCTGCGTGTGACTGCCTCCACACACACCCCTCCAAAAAATCACACACACACACAACCACAGAGCCTTAACTCTGCAGTTCTGTCCTCAGACTAAGATCATTCACCCCCTGTAGGCACATTCCTGTCCCCAAACACTACAGCAATGTCTGCTGACTTTATTAACAAAGCAATTGTCCAGTAGTAGTAAAATGACCTGTGGGCCTCTATAGGCTACATAATGCAAATCCTCCAGCAATATTTGAAGTAGGCCAATCACACTTTCTCCTTAGTACAGGGAAAGTATTCACAGTGGGTCAGAAACTTTGAATTTGAATATTTGAATACTTTGAAAGATGACCAATGAAAGATGCTGACTTAGGACCCTCTGTTTTTTTCTTCTTCTTTACAGACAGTAAAACTTCATAGACAAAACAGCCCATCTCAAAAGCTTAAATTGGCATTTCTTTTTTACATCAGTAATTCCATGATCATTTGTTCCATACATATTGTTGGATTTTTTTCTTCTTTTTCTAGTTGAATGTATCCCCTTTTCCTTTACTGAGACTTATTTTGAGAATGCAGAAACCTAAAAAAAAAAACCCACAAAAAACTCTGTTTCATTGTTGCCATGATACATTACGTTCCTGCATTTCTCAGAGGGAAGGGCACAAGTTGGTTACCAAATGCTAAACTCGCCTTTGTCCTCCTTTCAAAGTCATTAGTTCTTGATATTCTGATATTTCAATGACTTTTTATGAAACGTAGAATCGGAAATGTTGAAGTTTATTTTGTATCTTGAAGTGTCATCATAATTCATCATAGAGGTGGATGATACTGAACAGAATTCCACCACACTGGCTGCTTTGACACCTGTGGCGCCACCTGGTGTTAAAAGAAGGAGGCTGGAATTAAAACTGAGCACTTGAGTGTTTGGAAGTCTTATTCATGAGTCTTAAATTAAATTAAACATATTTCTGAAATCCATATTAAATGCATAATCCGAAGTAGCCTATCTTGTGATTATGTTTGAGGATTGAAAGCACCATGACACCGGCCTTCATTCAACATAAACGATGCCACCATTATTTCCCTTTTTTTTTTTTTATGAGACGCTGCTTATTTTACAAAAAAAAAAAAAGGGTTAAAGAAAATAAGTCATCATTTCTTGAGGTTGACTTTCTACCCACATGTCTGCCTTTCCAAATGGAATCTATGCAAAAGCTCATACCTTAGATTTTGGAGTTCAGCTGTGGTTGTAATAATTATGAGTATCTACCCTGAATCCAAAGCACCTGAACAATATACACAGTGGCTTAGCTGTGACAGTGCTTCGAGTCAGCCAACTGTTTATTTTCCCAGCTGAGGCGCTGACCTCAAAGCCACCTTCCAGCCTTTATCTAACCCCCTGGAGAGACGGATTTCACAGGTATTGTAAATGAATGACAGGGGTTGTGACCTTTTAATCTGGAAATATATCAGAAATGTCCCTCTCCTTATAAATTATAAACAGGAGGGTCAGTGGAATGAGTATAGGTTTGTGCCAGCACTTATCCAACTCCATCTCATTACAACAGTAACAATAAAACTTTGAGAGTACCTCTGAAATCACTACAATATATCATACCGTACACTCAAACAAATCATGAAGCTTGCCTACAATTTGTACATTATTAGGAGGCGTCATGATGTCACTGTCAATTTGGTGGTTGTGACAAAACAAATTCCAGTCAGTTTCACACTGTGCAACATATCACACGAGGCATCTGAGGAATTCTAATTAAAGCCTGGAGCAATGAAGCTGCACCCAGCAGGAGCTCCAGACAGCAGTTGCCTCACTTTGGGACACAAACACCTTTGGGTAACAGTGGTAATTCTCTCTGAAATGTCTTACTGAAACATCTGCTTAAACTTCTAATGTGAAACAATCACACACTGCTCAAGTTTCTATTCCAACTTTTGCCATTTAGATATTGAACTTTAAATAAATGACTGTTCTATATAAATATAAACCATTAAACTCATGAAGTAAAATCCTTAACTTCATCTCCCTCTTTCTTAAACTGCAAAATTGGCGTTTTCTTACATCTGTGCTACCAATTGACAGTTTAATATTCAAGCCAAAGTCTTTCATTTCAGCTAAATTCTATCCCACGCTTTTAATTTATCAATCAAACATTTTAAAGGAACTTGGGAGTTTTCAAAATATATCAAATACCGTATAACCAAGGCTCTTTGCATTTAAAATTCATTAACTTAAATAAAAAAAATCAGTAAATCTGACAAAATGACAAGTCTACAACATTTTTATTTCATTATCAAATACTGATGTATAATGAATATAATATAATAATTATACAGAGGAATGTTCAAAATGAAATCAAAAGATTTGAATGATTAAAAGAATAAAGCATGTAGCAAAGTTTTTCTTATTCTTTTAATACATGTTTATTGAAAATTAAACGGGACAGGGAAAAACATTACTGAGATGTCGTTTTTTACACAGATGTGATGTAAAAAAAATAAAATAAAAGAGCACAGAAGCAACAGACCCTATAGAGTTCTTAATTATTGGTGATGAAGAGGCCGTAAGATGATGAGCGGTAGAGGAGAAACAGCAGGTGACTTCACAAAGTCGGAGGGATCAGCTGGATCAGATATTTGTCTTCTTTTGCGACAGGTTGATCTTGTCACCGAGGCTCAGGGCCATCCCCTGTGAAACAAAAGAGAGAGGATTTATCATAACAGACTTTTAACATTTACTCATAAGAGCATGAACATTTGATGTAATGAGTTCTTCCATATAGTCACGTGTTGCCAATTCAGTCCGATTCTTTCAACAAGCTATTTCATTAAATATTATCTGTGCAAAACTTGACTGTGTGGCTTCAGAAAATAAATTCCACCAAGCTTTTACTCCTCGGATGCTTTAGGCTTCATTAGGCAGCAGCTGTGACCCACCTGACTTTTGGCTCTGATGCGTATGTGTCCGTTGACAGGTGCATCCGGCCCCAGGTGGATGGGCTTCTCGATGCTGACATTAGCCAGAGCGTCTTCTCCAAAGATAGAACGAGCATAAAGGTTGGCAGCCATGAAGCCGCAGAAGCCAGACAGTGCCTGGTTTGAGACACAAAAAGAAACAAGTTGAGATTATTCCATAAAACAAAGCATTGTGCAGGTGAAGACTAAAGACTTGAGTTTATTTTATGTGTTAAAACCTCTAACTTTTTGTGATTAAGCTGCATGAAATGTAAAAAAAAAAAAAACCTTCTCAGGAGTCAGACACTTCATGTTGGTGGACCTGAGGATATGCTGCAGGTAATCGTTCAGATCAGTGATGTTGGTGTTCACTGTCACCTAAAAGAAAGATTGATCGCACATGTCAAACCCAAGGAAGTTGAGAAAACTAGAAAATAAAAAAACCTTACAATTGTCAGACTCATGATGCCAACCACAATGATTTTGGGAAAGCCAGTCAGTGTCCAAGTAGACATGTAAAGTTTACCTTGTTTTCCCACTCAAACTCTGCCCACATCTGCCTGAATTCTGCATCTGTGCAGGATGCTGGCTGGATGTAGTCCATAATGTCGATGTGGATGTCACTTAGGACAACGCAGTTTCTGTCACTAGCAGCCCCCGACACATCGTAGACTGAAAGAAAGAATCAAATATCCAAACAAATTAAAAACATTGCCTTTTTACAGATAGTAAAACAAACATATTTAATTATTGTGTTTAACTGTCACAAAATGATTCTCTTACCAATATTGCCAAATATAATGCCATTCTCAGTTGACGCCACCTTTACATTGGCTTTAATGTTTGCAAAATCATGAGGAGCCAGAGTGAGAGGCGAAGGCTTCTCAACCAATTTCAGATCACCTGTAGGAGGGATACGTTCAGGGAATTTGACAGTTCAATCTTAAAACAAAATGTGACTGGCATGATGCAGCTATACAAAACAAATTCAATAGTGCATTTGTCCAGTGAGGTGTTAAACCAATGAGACTCACCTAAAGTAGCCAGCTCAAGGGTGCAGTTCTGGAGAGTGTCATTTGTTTGGTTGACCACCAGAACATCCAGTACAATGTCATACTGGTTGACATGAACATAGGCTTCAGCGTACACTGGGTCTGAGAAACCTGTCAGCTGGGTCACCTAGAATGGAACAACGTTTCAATTATTTTTACTATTATAAAAGGATTTCAAGTTCTTTATGCCAGTCACTTTCAAAGAACCCTGGCTTTCACATCAGTTCATGTGCATGACAGTGACAGTTCATCATAACGATAATCAAGGAATAAAGGACTCCATGTACCCTAATGATAAACCTTTTTTTAAACTTTTTTTAAAGTCAAATAAAAAGCAATAGGAAAAACAGCATCCTTCTCTTAGGTATATACTACTCGAATGCCTCCAATTAATACAATCTAAAATAATAATAAAAAAGAATGGGCAGGTTTTAAAATAAATGACAATAATAATCTCCAAGCAGAGGCATTATTTACAGCCCCAATTAGCCCCTCCCACACATGTGCTTTTCTCTCTCTCTCTTTTTTTTTTATTTCCATGTCTCCTGTCTGGTAAGATCTCTGCAGGGCTTGTTGTGTACCTTGTTGAGTTTTGAAGCCAGGGGATCAGCAGCCTCCTTCCTCTGAGTGTTGCCCATGGCAGCCAGCAGACTGAGCTGGAACTGGTCCTCCTTAGAAGACGTTTCATTTTTGGCTGTGAGCTGCATGAAGGAGATGGGGTCGTCTGCCTGCACTGTGACGTTACGTTTCTCAGACTCTTTCTGTGGTCAAGAATGAGAAACACATGATTATTGTTGGAGGGAAAATGCAGCCTTGATGTTTTAAGTTTTACAGACATGACTTGGGACTTACACTATTAACAAATAAGAGCTGGGTACGAAAAATATGCAATCAACACTACTTATTCGTGTACTGTGCTGACGTCTCAGCTGTGCCTGACTGTCAGCAGGTTAAATATTGAGTTCGTCCCTCTGGGTCATCAGTCATTACCTTCTGTGACAGCTTCTCCTCCTCCAGTCTGACGGTAAGCATATGTGACAGTGATTTGCGGCACTCCTTGTTGAAAATGTCATTCATAAGTGGTGAGCACTCTGACAGCACCTTCAGGCACAGTGAGATGCGGTCCACATCATCGTCTGTAATTGGTTTCTTGGGCAGAGAAGACTTGCCCAGGTGCAGCACAGTGACCATGATCAGCATGGACTCTGCAACAAAAGACTGGGAGGGGGAACAGGACAGCAGGAATTAGAATTATTGATTTTCACAAAACTTTTCTCTTCCGGTGAAGTAAAGGAGGAAAAACTTACATTTTGTTTCTTTTTGTCTTGAACAATTGCGACATAGCGCAAAGCTACTTTGGTGAGTGTGGTGGCCAGGGAAGCTGCCACATAGAAGTCTCCATCCATCAGGAAGCCTCTGAGTGGAGGTCTGGAACAACAAAATCAGAGTTGGTGTTAAGATGACAACATTTCCTGCAATCACCACAATGTTACAGTCAGATAACCAGAGTCCAACAATGTGCCTACCTGTCCTCTTCCTTCTTGGAAGGCCTGGAGGAGCTGAGGGCACTCTGTGTCACATATGTGCCCATCTCTGTCACCAGCTTCTGGGCTGGAGCTGCACTCACTTCGTCGTCTTGTTTCACCTCGCCTGTCTCCTTCTTAATCTCGTTTTCAACAATCGGGATCTGTCCAGGCAAGAGGCATGTGTCAGATGTTTGTGAACATTTTAATGTGTAAGTTTGCATTACACAACACTCAATGGGGGAAACATACCTCTCCCAAGGACCTGCGTATTTCTGTCATCACACTTTGAATGTCGTCCTTGGTGCTGCAGTATTCTCCCAAGATCCACAACGCTCCCCTGTAGATCCTGAAAAAGGACAATGGAGACAGAGGTGATGAGCATTCACAGTGCAACACTCCTTCATTGATATGACTACAAATCTCAGCCATGTCGGTGAAACTAATGATGTTGACAATTGTTTCTTAAAAACAATACTTGACATGACTCCCAGAAAAGGTGAGTTGTATAAAGCTGAGCATTTAACCAAAACCAGACCATCTCTAAGTGAACATGCTGCTAAATTGTATTTAACTGGATTTTTATATTTTCTATGTTCTATCATCTTGTCTCCTCATTTTTCAGATCAGTGAAGAAATATGAAACAGTTTGTAAAATTTGAACCACTGATATGTCCCTCACTGCCTCGATGTCCTCGGAACAATCTGCAAAGACAATGCGTCACTCAATGTGCTTTGAAAGACTTACTTGACAGTTTTGATGCTGTGAAAAACTTCCAGCATCTTCTCAATGACAAGGGGTCTCAAATTGTCAAATCTCTGAATTGCCTCTCGTACAAACTCCAGCACATCAGCAGCAGCTGCCTCGTTAGTGTCACTTAGGAATTCCATCAGCTGTAAATCATATCCACACATAGAAAAGTAATTAATATCATTATTCTCATTTTAAGAGTGTATTCTTTGGAAAAAAGGAAAAAACACCCGGCTAAAAAAAAAAAAAAACAGGAAACTCACCACAGGTATGACATTGGCCGCCATGTCAGGGAAGCGCACACTGCAAGAGTGGAGAGTGCGAACCAACAGCTGCCTGTACTTATCGGTGTCTTCATGTTCTGTTACGTTGTTTGTTTTGATCACTTCTTTCTTTAAAACAATCACCAACTGGAAGACAGAGGGGAAATAAAATGCTAATTTGTGATATCTCTTTTTTTCCTTCTGTGTCCATGCTCGCACATGAAAACAGCAACAATAACACAGATCAACTGTATGTGCCACTGACCTCTTCTACGTTGCGAGATGAAACAAGGTCCAGTGCCAGCTGTAAGGTCTTCTTCCTGACTTCTAGGTCAGGAGTGCTGAGAACACGCAGGATGTCCATCACAAGGTCCTGGATAAACAACATTCGGTGACAAACAACTCAAGTCTTAAGACAGATAATACACTGTAGGTGCAGAAAACCTGTACTGTTTCATAACACTACATGAATTGGATTGTAATATACATATTTCTGACTTTTTATGCATTTTACTTTTCAGTAAAAACAATTATAGAGGGAAATTATCTTCACAGTTTTAAGACAGTAAGTATTATTTTTCTAATTGTATTAGAAATGAACCCCAGCCTTAACACTATGTACCTGGAGTACACGCTCATGAGTGGGGTGCTCCTTCAGTTCAATGAGACGGTCCAGAACAATCAGCTTCACGTTGTTGTCACTCTCCTTGATAATCAAGTCGATGTAGCACTGGGCTGCAGCCTGGAGTGAAAAAAAGCACAGATTTGGTAAGAGACTGAATACGTCATTACAGGCACAATACCGACACAGTGTAACATATTTCATACAAAAGAACACTAACTAAACCTTGGTGATGTACCTTAATGGCGGTTGGAGCACTGGAGAGGGTTACAAGAGTACCAGCAGCCTCGTACTTAACGGCTGGACTGGAGGACTGCAGCAGGTTGTAGATGCATCGGATAAAACGGGCGCGCTCAGACGGGTTAGCATGACAGACCTAACAGACAAAGGAAAAAAAACAGCAACAGCAGAGTCATTTCAGGTGCTCTTCTTTACGTTTGATGCTATACTACAAAGCCCAAGTAAGACTGACAGGCCTTAACTCACCTTGTAAATCAGTTCCACAATGACAAGCTGGAGAATGTCGCCAAAAGTGTGAACTTGGTCAATACAGGTGCTGAGGTAATCCAGAGCTCGGTCCTGTAAAGAGATGAATGAGATTATATAAATAAGGGCATTTGAGATTTATAACTATCAGTCGAAGTGGAAAACAACAGTAGCAACAATAATAAAAATGTCAATATTCTACATACCTGATCTGCATGAATCAACATCATGAAGGCATTTCTCTTACAGCTGGCATCTTTTTCATTGACCAGAAAGTCATGGATCAATTCTGGGGCATCTGGGATGAGATGCTCAAAGTTCCTAAAAACAGATGAATATCATGAGTTGTTCGTTGTTCACTTGTGAATGGAAAACATGTGTGTTGGTTTTCAGGTAAATGAACATGAAGTATTTAACAGTTTGTACCTGTAGATGGTGTAAATAGCCAGGACAGCATTGCGGCGAACATAACTGTGACGGTGCTCCAGGCAGGCTCGGATTGCCGGCATGAGAGGCTCGAGCAACTCAGACTCCTTCAGCTTGCACAGGAAACGAAGAGTGGAGCCACGGATGAACTCATTTGGATGCTGCAGGTCCTGAAATTCAAAGAAAGAAAGAATTCAACGATTACATTTTTAGATGAATAGGTGGCATGCGCAAAAATTCAGCTAATGAACCATTGATCAGATGTCTTCTTAAGATGTGAGAATGGCTGTTTTTATACTGAAACTGTTATTAACAAGCTTTTCCCCAATGTTACACATAATTAATTACAACAAAGATCACACTCTTGTCTACAAATATACAGACAGTTAATTTACCTTCCTGTAGGCATCACAGACCAGGATCATCTCCTGAAGCAGCTTGCCATCTGGGGTTGTTTTGGGAACAATTTCCCAGAACACCAGCAGCAGCTTTTTGATGGTGTGGTCTTGAAGTGGCAGCACAAAGCGGATGATGGTCATCAGAAGTCCCGGCAACTTCTCCCCATTCAGAATCATGATGATGACCTTCTTTAAGGCTTCAGTCTTTGCCTTGATCTCTCCCTTTTCTGTAGAACCATGATAAGTATCTTCATTGTAATTTATATGAATATATTCAGCTTGGGCTTATCGCTAACAGATAACCCACAGACATCACTGTTAACAGTTTTATCTTGAATTACTTTCTCTGGGAGAAAAAAAAAAACTAGGTAAGTTTCTGACACAGTTTGGGAACCAAAGGTGTTTTGCTTTTGATTGTGAGAGTACCACAAATCAAATCACCTTCTTTCATAGTTAGTTGGAGAGACAGGCTTTAAAAATGGACATCTCCCCTTTAGTTTGAAACTGTGAGTCAGTTTGGTAGTTTGTTTGCATAGCTTTTCAGACGAACATTAGGATTACTTACCTAGATCAGTTTTCAGGCTGACTTCTGAAGGGGGTTCTGAATCAGATGTAACATTGATCAGGGTGTAACAAACGTTCTCTGCAGCTGTCATTTTTGCTGCTGTGCTTGTTCCCGCTAAGAAGAAATTCTATGAATGTTGCTCACTGGATAATAACTGTGGTGGGACACAGAAGAACAATAGAATTAGAGAATTATATTGTTTTTTTTTCCACACATGAGTAACTGTAGGAAGCAACATGTGAGATAAACTGCAAAGCAACATGTCATGGTGCATAAAAAGAGAATACAGAAGAATTACAAAAAGTTATCATTATAAAAACACTGTGTACATGTAGTTATCTACAGTGATGACAAAGAGCTCAGTATATAATTCATGGAATTGTTACAGAGAAAAACATAAGTAACAGGTGCTCCCACTATAACGCAGATGAACATAGGATATCTCAGGTCTTATAATAATTATACGATTTAAGTCAAGAAGAAATGATAGTCCCAGGAATCCACATCCCCAAACACTTGAAGGAAATTGTCTACGTGTAATGCAGATTAACTCGTTCTTCAAGCAAAAGTTAGAATAAATACTCGTGACTTGAACTCATAAGTGTTGTTTGTGACTCTTATTACATTAAACAGCAGCAACTGAAACTAAAAATTCTGCATAATAAAAAATAACAATTTGATAGTAACCAACTCATAAAATAAGATTCACAGTTTTTCTTAGAACAATAGCGAGTTGGCCATGTGTACATTTCAACTGGTTGTTATTAATAATTCTTCCAGTTCATATTTGAACACCTTCTCCTTCTAAACAGGTGGAAGCCTGTTTGTAAGGTATTTAAAATCAACAGTATCTATCTATCTATCTTCTGCTCAAAAATATATCTCTAAGAGTTTAAACTTCAGTAAATATTTGGTGTCTGAATAGTTGGCTATCTTTAGATAAGTCTCTGAAGTACAGAATATTTCCCATGTAGAGACGACCTGGGGTAAAAAAAAGAAGAAAAAAAAATGACTATAACATAAATGTGTAATTTAAAGGGGGATTGTGTACCATAAAGCCTGTAAGATTCACACTTTTTACACATCACTCAGGCTGCTGCATATTTGCAGTAAACATAACAGGGTTTAATAGATAACCTGAAGGCTCAATAACTCATCAAAGTTAGTAACAACAAGGAGAATCTAAACACTTTTTGAAGAGATATAATAAAGTATAACGATGTCTATCTGACACTGACTCCCAATGGTGCTTTACACAGCAAAAACTAGTCATCGATGAACACAACAGCACATTAAACAGCTCTCATTGTGCCAGCGACAGACACGTAAGTTACTGTTTCATGTTTATTGAAGTAAGTAAAGTGAGACACGCAGCCTCCTGTGTCACTGCGGTTAGCTCGCTGATGTAGCCTCAATGTAGTTTACTGCGTTAGCACTAAGTTGTGCAAAAAAAACACTGAACAAACGCAACTATCAATTAGCTAATAAACCATTCAAGTTGTTAATGGGAAAAGAAAATACACTTAAATATGCTAATCAGTGAACGTTAGCTGACGTCAAGGTAGCTTCTGCTCAGGCTAGCACTGAAATGGAGGACAGTAACGTAAGCTAGTTAGCTGTGATCACGGGTAAGGACAGACAACACAGCTCATATTGGTGTAAACTTATTAAGATAACATACCTAACTGCACGACTTGTATCCTCCGAAGTGGCCTTCGATATCCAATGTTGGATATTTACATCTGTAAATAGTCGCTGGAGCTCCGTCTGGTGAGCTGTCCCTGTGATTCTCCACCACTTCCCTAATGACGTGGAAGATCGCTTTCTGAGCCACATCACTGCTACCGTGCGCCGCAAGGTCCAAACGCGAGAGCAATATCCCAGAGCAAGGAACGAAACAAGCTCCTAAACAAGCCTCCCCCCCCAAAAAAAATGACAGATATCAGAGTTTCTATCGTTTATTGGTAATAGCTTTATTATCAGCAGTGTTTATATATTTGGTATAAATCTAATGTCGCTGCAAGGACCTCGTAGGAGGCAACTTGTTTTACATTGTTCCTTGTTCTGTTTTTGGATTTGATTTGGACCTTGAGTCCTAATTATTAAAGATTGAATTGTGCACATTGATTCCCGTTACAATCCCGGCAGGTTTGTATCGTCTCAAGATAAAGTGAAGAAAAAACTTTTTTTTTTACAGCCGTGGTTCACCCTGCTGAAGAACTTGAAAAATGGATGGTTTGGTAAACCCTTCCTAAAATAGCTGAAGTGTAGTGAATGCATTAAGCGTTTTATAAGCAGTTGTGAATTCACTGGCTCTGCAAAGTAAAATAATACATATACCCTGTCATCATATACCCTGGTATACTATAGGCTACACACCATGGTATGTACTATGGTACCATTTACTATGGTATACCATGGTATGTAGGCTACTATGGCACTATTATTATGGTACTATGTACTATGGTATGTCCTATAGTATGCCATGGTATGTACTATGGTACTGTGATACTATGGTATGTACTATAGTATACCATGGTATGTACTATGGTACTATGGTATACTATGGTATGTACTATAGTATACCATGGTATGTACTACGGTATTATGGTATACTATGGTATGTACTATAGTATACCAAGGTATGTACTATGGTACTATAGTATACCATGGTATGTAATATGGTACTATGGTATACTATGGTATGTACTATAGTATACCATGGTATGTACTATGGTATACTATGGTATGTCCTATAGTATATCATAGTATGTACTATGGTACTATGGTATACCATGGTATGTACTATGGTACTATGTACTATGGTATACCATGGTAAACTTTCTTATGGGAACTATTCTTTTGTAGTTTAAGGGTTTGATGGTTCAAAATTGTTTACTGTAACTAACATTTCAAAATGTATTTGGCTTGCCTTTGAAGTCTTCAGCAGACTTGGCTCCTGTGTCATAAAATCAAATCAAAATGTGTAGCCTACAATGAAAAACATGGCTTTACAAAAATGTATTTGCTTTATTGCTTCAACAATATAGTTCAACGGATTTGAATGGTATGCAGCACCGTCTAGTGGAAACTTTGCCTCATTGACACAGTGGCTGCAAAGGCATCTGAATGAGCTATCATGTGAATGATTTAGTGTTTCATTCAGTTCCCATTTTCCACTTTTAACCTCACAATAAATACCATTGCAACAACTCACACCTTAAGGCCAAAAGCAACAGCATGCATATCAGTATTTATTAAAACAGTGGTCAACATATTGAAATACGTCCATCTGTTTATTTATTATTTTTATTATTATTATTTAATTCGCAAGGGCTGCTAATACACAAAAAACACTAATTCAAAAAGTTGATTTATTTTTGGTTTTGGAATCATCAGGAACATATAGTTATCATCATTTTCTGTCTGTACTTTCAATCAATTTGTATTATTAAATTGATTTCACTTACACAACCAGTGCCATGCATCTTGAATGGGCATTTAAATTCACTTAAATAAGGATTATTAATGGATATTCTATGTATACATTAAGTGTGAGTTTAAACTTTTCTATAAATTTTGCGTTTTTTAAACATCACACATCAGGGTCACCTCATTACACACAATTGACAAGGGTTTATAAAAAGGGGCTCATACAGATTTTACTTTTGAAAAACAGACACAAGCTAGCTTTTCATGAATGCAAGCAGTCCCATTTTAAATCCATAGTGTAAAGTCAGAAAATGTGCAAAAATGAAAGTCATTGTGTCTTTTATGAACTGTTCAGTTATGCAAAGTAAGGCAAACTGAAAATCCCCTCTGTGTCTTGGGTTTGGCAGGCCAGCGTTTGATATAGCTCATTAGTTTTCCAATTCCAGTAAGCCAGAATTTACAATGTTAGGGCTTTAAATGAAATGCAACCATTGACATAATACCTAAATACACTTTACCTCAAACATTATGTTGTGAAAAGGTCTGTTACAATAGCTGTTTGTAGCCTGGCTCAAAAACTGTTTAAATACCTTGACATTTTGGACTACATAATGGGTTTTTATTCTAGGGTAAGATCTTGTTTTGAAGCTGGAAATTGTCATACATTAATCTTAATTTCAAGGAGTTTGGCGTCTTATTCAGCAAACATGCTCATATGTTTATGTTTGTTAGGATGTCAAAAAGCAGCTTACTAATGGAGCCAGCTAAAGTATTCAGTAATTTTTTTTTGTGTGTGTGTGTGCCAGTAATGAACAACAACCACTTGGCAGCCACTAGCAGGTACAAAGTCGTTGAGATCACTTTAATCGGCAATCGTTTGTTTTACCATATCAGGGCAGGTGAACGAAAGGATCCCAGAGAAAAAGATGCAGTACTTCCACTTCGCACCCAGGATAAGCTAAAGATAGGGAACTCTTTGACCGAAGGACCATATCATTAGACCACAGGATAGTACAAGATCACTTTAGCTATATTGGTATTTGGGAAGGTGACATTGACTCGTTAACATTCAAATAGTGACAAACTCTATATATATTTATTCCTCATAAAAACAACATGTGAACTATTACATTTTCAAACGCTACAATTTTATTTAATTTTAGACTTATGATTATCGGTAGTTATCGATTGAGTAGGCTTACATATAGCCTACTATAAGATAAAACTAGGTTATAGGAAGTTAACCTGAAATTATGTGGAAATTACACTTAGGCCTATCATAAAGTTTATTATTATTATTATTATTATTTATTTTTTTAAGTTTCTGCATTGACTGTAAACTCAGTATATTGATTTGGACTGTATTTCAGATGCAGCTCAGGATTGGTTCAGCGCTCCACATTAAGAAGCCCTGCGTGCTGAGTTGTGGCCTCTGGGGGGCGACGGAGAGCCCCCACCCCCCCCCCCATTTCTGTAAAAACAACATCTCACCTTCTTTCTTTAGTCCAAGTGCTGGAGCACGTTTGAGTGACCATGGAGTGCGTTTGCTGTCATGTTGTTGAGCGTTAACACGGCGTGAATATTAGAAGAAGGGGGCACTTTTTGTGTGTGTGTGTGTGTGTGTGTGGCGTGGATACGAGGAGCCACAGTCGAGCCATGGCTGCACGGGAGGAAGGAGAGGTTTTGCACAGTAAAATAAGGCACCACGACGGAGCTGGAAGTGTAAACAGCACAGAGGGCTTCAGGAACGGCTATGTGAAGAGCTGCGTCACCCCTCTTAAACAGGACCATCAGAGGGGATTTTTGCTAAACGTGTGCAGGTTTTGCAACGAAGACATACTAAACTCTAAAGTGTTGAAGGTCTCTGCCCTGTACGTCGGCGCGTTTGTAATCTTCGCGGTTTCTTTTCTAATATCTAGGAGCTTGCAAAGTGACTCGCAGTGGGATTTGCGGACTTTCTTGTCAGGCTTCTCCCAGTCCATCAGTCCTTTATTCAGCATAGGATGTGCTTTCTTCTTTCTGACGTTTTACCTGAGGAGGAAAAAGAAGGAGAGCAGTAAATGTTGGCTCCTGTCACTGCCAGCATCGTGTTACCTCGGGGATTTTTTGGTTTTGCGCTTTTTGCAATGGGGAGAGGACCAACACCAGATGCAAATGGTGGGCAGGTTGTTATTCGTGTTGGGATGTGTGGGTTTGCTCACACTCATCCCCACTCTGAAACTCAAACACAGTGTTCTTATACTGGTTTTCGCCAGCATTGTGTGGCTTGTTTCTTTCACAAGTTTGAGCGGTCTGCCTGCTCTCCTCAGACCTCTCTTCGCCTGCTTTGCGGGGGTTTGTGGCTCCCTGTTGGGGCTCTGTTTTGATCGTTACTACCCGACGAGGGAAGCACCGAGTGGGATTTCCACTACGGAGGAAAAGGTCCCAGTGATCAGACCTCGGAGAAGGTCCAGCTGTGTTTCACTTGGGGAAACGTCGACCAGCTATTATGGCAGTTGTAAAATGCCTCGCAGACCTTCGTTGCCCTGTATATCCAGAGAACAGGTAGGTCTTTTGCCCCCCTGCAGGACCACGGCTGTTTTTATTGTTCAAAAAAGTATCTAGGCCCGATGATCACCAACAGCTACCCCGATTGCACATGTGCATCAGAGGAGGAAAACACCCAGGCTTATGTCACGAACAAGCCCACACAAAGCAAATCATACGAATGACCTACAGAAAAAAAAAAACCAAACAAAACATCTTAACCATTTCTCCAAATGATCAGTCTAAAATTAATATTTAATTAAGTAAATGGCCTCTTATCGATACAAGCATTCATAGAAAGAAAGTGCAATGTATTAAGAATTACCTTAGCAGGCGACCATTATGCCATTAATTATTTCAGTGTTATTGTAGGCTACTATACAGTCCCATATGTGTTAATATCAAACAATGGCTTTGTCAAAATTTAATTTAACAAATACAATTTCAGCATTGACTTAATAATGCAAACTGTGTTTTATATCCTCTAATAACTTAAAGATAAAATATCCACATTCTCACCATGCTATTGTGGGAAGCTCTTTTGCTGACAGCTCTTCTTGCTATCATTTTATAATGTTTACAAGGACTGCAACATTTCAACGATACGTTTTTCACTATGCAACTACCGGTAATTTCACTGTTTTTTTTTATGGTTAATCGGTTTTATTAATGTTTTTTAAAAAAAGAAAAAGAAAACAGGTACATTTCTTAATTAAATATGCAAACTTTATGGTGTCTTTTTGGACACGCTCAAATGAAAACCTTTGTGCAGTGGAGAAACTAGCACATTTAAAGGCATAGGTTTTTTTTTTTTGGCTCTGGGAAATGTAGACATTTTTCAACATTTCATGAAATGTTTAAAGCAAACAAACCAATCAATTTCATCTTGAATATAACTGACAGTAAATACCTTAGTGAGTTGCAGCTTTAATGTTTTTTTCCCCTACATTTTGCTGGTAAATGATCACTTATAAGATTATAGACCAGGTAATCGATGAATTGTGAGTGCCTGTCTACATTATCCTGCAAGAGTAACAACACAGCCAGCAGCAGCAGCACAGCCATTGATGTGGCCTATGCTCCCCTCTGACTGTAGCAGTCAACAAAACAAAAAGATGGTGAGCACACGCAGGGATTAGTCAGTGTCCACAGACTATGTGTTTCCATTTCTTTTAGTAAGATTGTACACACAGGCTGCATAAAACAAGTGTGTTTACACACAGCAGCCAACAGATCCAATCCAAAGCCAGGCTCTTTTTTACTTTGCATGAGCTCTGTAAACCAGTACACCTTTATCAGGTTATATCAAAACAAAATGAAGACTTATCATGCAGCATACTATAAGTACAAAAAAAATAGAAAATACATTTGTTTCAAGCTGTTGGCTTAGATTGTATGTAGACAATGTAGAAAAATGCAGACACATTGTGACTATTATTTTGAACAGTGTAGTTGAAGACAAATGTGCAGTTTTAAGTTGAAGCCATCAGCTCACACGTATTGTGTTTATGTCCTTGGAGCTTTGTTAGTAATGATAAGACAACTAAAAATATATAAGTCCACTTTGTCTCAGTTGTGCAATTTCCAGCAGTTGTTTCTCCACTTCATTGTGTTTAAGGCTTTAAGCAGAATGGCCCACATTTAAACTATAGGCCTTAAACATGGCACGCACACTCAAACTGAACAAACACGAGTAGAAAAAAACAGGTTGAATCAATCAAACGATTATGTATGGTGACTGTAATATATTTTAAAGTTTTGTGGCCTTAGCTCTAACATTTGTTAACCTTTTTATGTGGAAGAGAAAAATATCTACTTGATCCTTGAATGAGGTGTTTATTAAATCAAAGTTTAAACTTTGGTGTGTAGATGTTGCTCTAATAGTATTTTCTGAATAATTGTGATTTATGAAATAACTAAATAAGACCACATTGTTCATTTGGACAATTCTTTATCAAAGTATTTCCATATAATATTTTCAATAGATAAAGTTTGAATCTATTTCAGGTAGTTACTTATCTTTTAGTCTAAAAAACGACTTCAGTGTTGACATATACAGGGACTGGTACTTATAACTGATATGTGTCGTGTTTTAGGTTGAGTCTCTGACAGCTACTCTGTATATTATGTAAATAGAGCCAAAAAATTATAGGGATTGTCATCCCACTGTTAAAAAAATGATTTTCAACTTGTTGGCCAGTAACATTTGTGTGAAAGCAAAGTTTGAGGACACAAAGATATGGCACAAACATGTGGGACATGACAGTCAGGTGGATTCAAGTCTGGATTGACTGTTAGTTGTGCGTGCATTGTTGAGTGAGTGTGTCTGTTTGTAGGTGTCAGTCCTGTGATTCAATTTGCTGGAAACCTGTCTGGGGTGTTGTGGCCCATACAAGCTGGGAAAGATATTATTTACATATCTGAGACAGCATCATTGCCATGTAGTTAATATGAAAGCATGTTCTCTTTAAAAAAAAATAAAAAAATGTGTCTCTACTGAAAACTTTAGAAATTAAAAAAAATCTAGTTTATGGCATTAAGCATTTCCCCTCCTGAATCTGATAATCAGAACATATAGTCATTGAAGAGAAAACAATTTACTCTCTATGTATTAATGAGCGATTTTTATATTGAAAATACCCCGACAGTTTCAGCGTTATAGGCAGGCAAAAAGCAGAACAAAGGAAATCTCGACAGGGGGTTACTCAGGGTTCACTGCTGATGTCACACATGTTCTTCGTCTTTACACCTTTTAACACACTCAAACCCATCAGCTCCGCTCTGTGCTGTCTGTGAGAGGGTCATTGTTTTATTGACTCTCAGGTGCGAGGAGCGTTTTTTTTTTTGTAAGCAGCAATGCACGTTTTTTTTGTTACAGCAAGTTCATCATCAATAGGGAAAAATAGTTGTTTCTTGGAATTGAAAGTTTTGGTCGGGGATAACACACACTAATGTGTAATCTGTTGTAAAAAGAGAGGAATCAAGTTAAGAGCTTGTCAACGGTTAAACTGATAACTTAAGTTAGTGTTAATTATTTATTACACTGCTGATTAATACAGTTACAGTACCTTTGCTTGAAGCTTTACATCTACCAGAAAGTGCAAACAACTGGAGTTAAACCAGCCAATACGCTTTAGAAAGTCATGATAGTGGAAACCAAACTTGTGGAATATGACCATGCTGTCAAAGTTTCAATGCTTGAGACTCCATGGGGTCTTTATACAAAAAAAATGGAGCTTGCAGACACGATTCCAATTTACATGGAATTACATCTTTTCTTTGTAATTTTTCTAAAGGTCTTGCACATATGCATTCAAAGGCATACATGCTTTTGAGTTTGTGGGGGTCTATCCACCTGATGTGCTCCTCTAAGCCGCTCTTGTACTGTGGGTGGCCTGAGAGAAACCAGGACCAGAGTTGTATACTGCATGTGTCCAGAGTTTGTAGGATCAGGGTGGTGGCATTTAGAATATTAGGCATGTTTTTGGTTGTGAGGCTTTTCATTTGTAATGTACATTAAGTTATTATGGAGCTGCAGCTGTAATACCAAATTAATACTTCATCAAAGCCAGAAATAAAGTGTTCAAACTTGTGAATCCACACAGAGAGTTCAGCCTCAGGACAGGCGTGTATTTCTCTTAATGTTAGTCACATCTTTTTCTTCATCCACTGAAAGTGAAGGAAGATGTAACCTTCAGCCTGCTAAAAAATAATATGTCATGTTGCAAAAGGAGTACTTTTTATAATCAGGTGTCGACTGTGGATTTGAACTTCACTGTGTGGAAAAGACATCACCATTTCATTGTTATGGTGATATAAGCATTGCCATTAACACATTACAAAAGTCTTAATTTATCACAATGTAAATTAAATACATTTTATTTATGTAAACAAGCAATGCTTTCTTACTAAACTACATTTACCCTCTGGGAATATGCCTATGTTCAGTGGTCATGCTTTCACACAATGTTGATGCAGTCTAATAAGTTAAAGCTAAAAACTGAGTTATATCGAATATGTACCTTTTTATTTATTTATAGCACGCCATATTATTATTGCAAACTGAACAATGTTATCTCACATGGCATATTTATCTCATGTCCTGCAGGCCTAGTGTAACCTATGGCTCAACATCACTCTTTGGGTTTGACAGAGCTTACTGCTGTAATTTGTGTTAAAGGTGAACTGGGGAGTTGTTGGCCACCGGTGGTGCTGTAGAGCATCAGTTTGATCTGCTGGTCTTTGTGAAGTTTGTTTTTGAGTTTGAAATGCTTGCAGGTAGCTGCACACAAATATTTCCTAGCACGGCGTGCCATAAAAAAGCAATATTGACTGTAAAACTTCACTGGTTATATTTTTAAAATAGAAGTTTTACGGAAAAAATCCTCAAATATATTGTAGATAATTCATGTGGATCACAGTTCCACCTGTTAACAAATGCATAGTTAGTAATGGTAGTGTGCCCTAAAAGGCAGTTATGAGCCAATAAAAGTAGAAGAATGAGAATGCAAGCAAAAAGTGTGAAGAAAAAACATTCAAGGAATCAACTTGACAGATATTTTATAAGATACAAAAAAACGCCAAAAGCTGAACATAACCACAGCCACGTTTGTTGAGAAGAGAACAAGTTTAATGTAACAAGAATGCCAAGCACAAGAGGTCGAGACAAATGAGCGATTGTGATGGCTCTTTAGAAAACTTAATGTCGTAATAAAACTTGCTGACAGAAGAACAGGCTGAGATTCAGAGGAAACAAGTTACCAAATGAGATTATCTTATTACAGCAATTACAAAGAAACTGTAAAGCCTTTTACAGTACATCCCATGCAGATTCACCACCATTCAATCCAATTCAGCGATCTGATGATGTCACACATTTTGTCTGAATAGTTTCGACACGTCAGCGCCAGTCTGTTTATTCATTTTCATCACATTATTTAACCAAGGTTGTAAGATATCCACGTAAGAATCAGGCTCATTTAATTTACTGCTCCCAATTTTATTTATTTTGTTTTATA